AAGGTAGGTCTGAAGGGTTCAGACCCTCTAACGTTGATCCACACCACCCACTGCGTCTAGGTGCAAGAACTCCTTCTTGTGAAACCGCCAAGTGATCACTACAATGAGGCTTGCTAAGCGCACTTCACACTGTGTGAAGAGAAAGGCTAGGTAAAAGTGTTTGAAAGAGTAAAGCTTTCAATGTGAAAACTTCACAAAAGTGGCGCAGGAGAGGAGAAGAGAATGGCTTGGTTGGTTTTCTAAAAACCCTAGAAGGAACATATATATAGAGGCGCACAAGAGGAGCCTATTTTTTAAAAACAAATCAGATTTTTAATCAATAAAAATCCCTTCCAAAAGGGCGCTCCATCAAAGAGAGAGAGAATAGGATTTGTTGCAAATTAAATCTCATCAAATCTTGCCAACAACATCCTATCATATCTTTATGATATATTAGGTTCAAAACCTAATCAAATATCTGATCATAAATCATCATATAATCAGTTATATGGTGCGCCCCATATAGCCTAAATAATGACCAGATACATTTGAGTAGTTGCATTCAAACTTGAATCAAATCACTCAAATATTCTCCCAACAGATCGTTTCTTCTCGAGCTGATTCTGATGACTAACCAACAGCCAAATCAGCACCCCAAATCTTCTTAGATTATGTCCAAAAGATTTCCTCTTGATATGTTCCAACAAGATCTCATCTTATCTTTTTGTTATGAAACAACTTTTCATAGCCAATTCAAATTCGAATTTCAAACATTTGAATTCAAACTTTCAAACACTTAAATTTTAAATTCAAATTCAAATTTCAAATTTCAAATTTCAAATTTCAAAATTCAAATTTCAAATTCAAAATTCAAAATTCGAATTTCAAAATTCAAATTCAAAATTCAAATTTCAAATTTCAAATTTCAAATTTCAAATTCAAAATTCAAAATTTAAACATTTGATAATTAATTTAACTAATTAAATTAATTAGTAATGTCTTGAACTATCCAAGCCTATTACTTAGATCCATGTGCCCTCCACCCTATCTGTGGAGTTCCAAACTACTTCTTGGGCTAATAACAATTGTTAGGCCCAATACCATTAATGCTAGAGCATCTAGACAATTAGGTGTTAGTGTGTGACCCATTAGGTCCAACATAGCCACTGACATAAATGGGTTTGGGCCCAATAAGCCCACAACCCATCTAATGACAACACAGAGCACTAGCAATCCTTTGTTGCCCCAGAACTAGTTAGATTAGTGACTTGATCATCCTATTGCACATATTTGGTTGCCGTATATATTTCCTTTCGTCTCGGTTACCTTCCCATAAAACCTAGGGTAAGGAAGCGTATCAACCCCTGCGGTTTAGGGTAAGCTTTATTCGAAATAGGTAATCTTCAATTTATAGACTCTAAAGGCAGATCATCTCATGATCTCTTTTACTATGCATAGATTCCCGAGTCCCTGTAAATGTCATCCCGATTTTTCCGGTTTACAGATAACCTAATCTCTCACAGAGATTTGACGAATTCCTTCAGCTTATCACCTAGCCTTGTGTTCTTTCAGGACAAGCCCAACAGTATACCTATGAGTCTCCATGTTTCAGGAAGACGAGGTGCACAATCAAAGCATGCCTTCTAGAACACAATCTAGGTAATAACTTCTGGTCTTAGGAAAGACATACCCAAATATAAAGAGACTACTCTAATGATACTCTCTGTGAGAGTTCCTCATAGAGTCTCTTTGTGGGTCTGTTCAGTGAGAGCTATACCCTTATAGGTCCACCCACGACTTTAGCTAAGACATCTCCATATCTATAGCATATGAGGTCTATACCTTGTATCCATATACAAGTAGATAAGTCGTGCTAGTCTTACCCGAGATTACTGACCCCATTCTCAGTATCTCTAGACTAGGAACATAAAATTAGGAATAAACATCCGGTATTCTTGAATCTTCATGATTGTGATCTGATCACAGATACTCAAGAGATACCTATTTTATTCCATGGGGTTTATCAAGTTATTCATAATATATTAACATTAATATCGAGACAGAATTATGAAACAAGATAAAGAGTGCTTTTATTTATTTGCGACAATATTAAAAAGGTCTACATCTATGTCCTTATTTAATCATAAGATTGTCTCTAGGACACCCAAATACTAACAGTACACACTTGTAGTGAACCTTGTGAGGGTGTGAGGCCACTCATTTCTGAGTTTAGGCCTCTAAGTTGTGTGGTTTTGGGGATTGTTTTCTATGTTTTGGGTAAGGGTTCATCTTCTTGGCATTTTGAGCTTCATGGTGCCATTTGGATGGTGAAAGGTCCAAGCTTTGGGTTTAAATTCGTGGCCTTGTAAAGTCAAAACCTTGGTGTGTAGTTGGAGACCTCTTTGCTGTCTCATTTTCGGAGTTGTGAGCCTTAGAGGTATACCATGATCATAACTTTGTGTTTTTGACGTTTTAAGCTTGTTTAATCGATTAAAAAGTAAAACTTGGATCATTTAAGTAAAGAAATGTGTTTCTGAGTTCTTAACATGCTTATGAACATCTGTGTAGGGAGTCATTGGACTCCCAATCGCTTTTTGACCCTTAAAATTGGCATTATGCAGAAGTCAGTTCGAATTTCTGCATTCTGTTGGAGAAGTATTCAAATACTTTTCGTGTAGTATTCGACTACTTATCCCTTGGTAGTCGAATACTCCTTGCTGGAGTATTGAGATACTTTTCTGAGAAAAAAAGTATTCGAATACCTTTGAAGAAGTATTCGAATACTGGAGAGTATTCTAATACAGTGAATTTTGGTATTCGAATACTGTGGTATTCAGATACTTGGGGTGTTGGTATTCGAATCCCTTGTGGTATTCGAATACTTTAGTGAAAGTAATCGAATACTTTCTGGAGAGCATGAATATTCGAATACTAATCGTGTAGTATTCGAATACCTCCTGCAGAAACTGCATAAAATGACTTAAAATGAGATAGAAAGCCTTAATCACTTAGGTAACCTCGAGTAATGGTTATTGATGATTGATGACTACATAAACAGATTGTGATTGAGCTGCTTGTTGGGCTTTGAGCTAGTGTGAGCTCTTGGTTGGACTCTTGGTTTAGATAGTTAGCTTGCAAGGTAAGCTTTCGTGTCCTCGGTTTAGCCATTGTTGGTTCCACCATACCCCATGGGAGAATGGTTTATATGCATGATGTGTTTTCATGCTTTGATGATTGGAATGCTTTTGAACTGTTAAGTGTAAGGGCCTTATAATATGTATGTGTTGTTTCCACTTCGACGGTTAGCCTGAGTATGTGGCGTCAAACAAGACGGTGACAGTGTGGGTGGGTGTAAGTGGCGTCTTGCATTAGTGTGGGTAATAGACATATTCCTGCATTTATCTGACCAGTAGAATATCTTGACACACATGACATGGTTATCTGTTGCATTACACTGACTTTGGAACTTATATCATATACTTGCTTTTTGAACTTGTATTGCACATGTAATGAGCTTGGGATGGAAGATCCTTGAGGACCCCTTGTCTTACTGAGATTTCTGTTTAGAGATCTCACCCCACGTTTGGGGCACATATTTCTGGTTCAGGTAATGCGGGGGTTGAGACATCTAGCGGCAAAAGGCCGGAGCTTAGCTGATATTGCTATTTATATGATGATATATTTGGATGCTGGATTATATCTGCTGATGATATACTATTAGCTAGTTATTATTGTGTTGCTGTTGTTGAGACTATGTTTGGCTCTGTTGCCTTATTTGGTGAGCATGGGGATTGTCCATGCCACTTTGAAATAAATAAATAATTAATTGTTAAGATAACCGTTAGATGGACGGAAATCAACGGTTGAAATGAGGAGTAAGAGTTGTAAGTCTTACTCTAGAGTCAAAAGATCCCTTCCCTATATATATATATATATATATATATATATATATATATATATATATATATATATATATATATATATATATTTGTAGTGGCTTTCAACGGCGCGCGCGCGCGCGGCGGGCGCGGGCGGGCGCGGGCGCGCGCGCGCGCGCGCGCGCGCGCGCGCGCGCGCGCGCGCGCGCGCGCGCGCGCGCGCGCGCGCGCGCGCGCGCGCGCGCGCGCGCGCGCGCGCGCGCGCGCGCGCGCGCGCGCGCGCGCGCGCGCGCGCGCGCGCGCGCGCGCGCGCGCGCGCGCGCGCGCGCGCGCGCGCGCGCGCGCGCGCGCGCGCGCGCGCGCGCGCGCGCGCGCGCGCGCGCGCGCGCGCGCGCGCGCGCGCGCGCGCGCGCGCGCGCGCGCGCGCGCGCGCGCGCGCGCGCGCGCGCGCGCGCGCGCGCGCGCGCGCGCGCGCGCGCGCGCGCGCGCGCGCGCGCGCGCGCGCGCGCGCGCGCGCGCGCGCGCGCGCGCGCGCGCGCGCGCGCGCGCGCGCGCGCGCGCGCGCGCGCGCGCGCGCGCGCGCGCGCGCGCGCGCGCGCGCGCGGGCGCGGCCGCGGGCGCGCGTTTTAGAGTCTTTGTTCATGGATACTATGTTTGGTCACTTATATATACATTAGTTTATAATGTTTATTTTTAACATTGATTTGCTTTCTGCATAAGACAAGTGTTTCTTAATTTTTTTAAAGTTGAAACTTTTTTTGAAATTTGAAATTTTTTGAAATATTTTTTGCTGGGTTGTTACATTGTTGTCAAAACTATAAACTCCAGCATTCTGATTAAGCTTTGGTTATTTGTGAGTTGATCTAAGGCTTTGTTCATGGATAATTTGTTTAGTCGCTTATATATACACCAGTTTATAATTTTCTTTATTTTAAACATTGATTTGCTTTCTACGCAATACAAGTGTTACATAATTCTCCAAAAGCTGAATTTTTTTTGAAGTTTATTTATTTTTAATTTATTTTCCTAGATTGTAATGTTACTGTCAAAATTATAAATTCCACCATTCTGATTAAGCTTTTATTTTTTGTGTGAGTTGATCTACTTTGATATTGGAGGAAGTCTCTAAATCTCGTCTGATTTATGATCCTTGCAGTTACTGCAACTACTGAGTCAATTAAAGCACTAGAAATGTTGAGGGAAAACAAAAACAAGTTTGATCTTGCTATTAGTGATGTAATTATGCCACACATGGACGGATTTAAGCTCCTTGAAATTGTGGGACTCGAGATGGACCTACCTATCATCAGTAAGCTCAAACACTTTTGTCTTAGCATGTATTTAACTTCATATTTACTTCTCCTTATCATGAGATTATCGGTATTTACTTGATGAAAAATTTTCAAATTCCAAATTTAATATGTTTTAATTTTTATTTTGTTCTTCCCAATGTTCGAGATAAATCTAGCCTGATAAAAATGTGTTGTCCCGCAATTATGCAATGAATTTTATCGGTCAACATAAGCTGTTTTTTTTTTTTTTTTTGTCGAGATTCAGTGCTGTCAGGAGACAGTGATACGAAGCAAGTGATGAAAGGTGTTACACATGGTGCATGTGACTATTTAATTAAACCTCCTAAAATTGAAGTTTTGCAAAACATATGGCAACATGTACTGCGAAAGAAGATTGACTGCAAGGATAAGAATAAGCCATCCAATGAGGAGACCCATTATGGCTGGGGAAGGTAGTCAAGGAATCGCATCAGAAATTAATGCTTATCATAGCAAAAAGCTGTGTCAGAAAAGGAAGGAACCAAATGAGGAAGATGATGAACAGAAAGGAAAAGAAAATGAGGAACCCTCAACTCAGAAGAAGCCTCGTTTACTTTGGAATGTTGAGTTGCATAAAAAGTTTGTTGATGCAGTTAATCAACTAGGCATTGACAGTAAGTTTATATAACAATGAAGATTTGCTTTTCCTTTTTTTATTTGAATCAAAAGCAAGAAACTTAAATGTGACAATTTGATACCACAAAATAGATATAATTATTTTTAATTAGCTTTCTTCACTGTAACTGCATGCAGAGGCTATTCCTATGAAAATACTTGATTCGATGAACGTTGAAGGAATTACAAGAGAACATGTAGCAAGCCATCTGCAGGTAAGAATTCAAAATTTCTCATTTATCACAAACTTTCAAATTATTTATGGTTAAAATGCAAATGATCTCCACCTTTTAGCATATAGATCCCTTTAGTTTAAATTTTGGCACGGGATCAATGTTGAATTGGGGGGTATTGTGCATTTTTATTTTTAACAAATTTTTGTTTGATAATCATTTATATATTATCATTATTAAAATTTTAAACAATGTCAATTTAGGAAGTAGTATAGGTGACTCTGATCCAAAGCATATATTGTGATAATTGCATATAATATCTCTGAACTCATCAAGAAGGCTAAACTCCCAACATCCTTACGTGCAGCTGCCCATGATTGCATTATATAAAATTCTGTATTATATAAACTTCTATATCTAATTGTTTTACCTCAAACAAACCGTCATAATATTGTATTTTAATTCTATTGTTCCTTATCTTGCATTCAGATGATTGTACAGAAGCTCGTTCTTCTTTCTTTTTTCTTTTTTCTTTTTTTAATAGATAGCTTGTTCTTATTTTTTATTGCAGAAATACAGGTTGGCCCTCAAGAAGGCAACTCATCAAGGTAGCATGGTTGATGGATTGGGTTGCAGTAACCCTTATGTGCAAATGAGTTCAATAAATAGACATGAAAATTTTAACACTTTGTCTGGATCAGGAAGAATCTTAACAACTACACCACAACATTCATATAAATCTGGTGGAATGTTTGGTAGGCTGAACTGCCCAACAGGCTTTAATTTGAGAGGAATGGGTTCCTCTGAACTGGCCGGGCCTATTCGGTCGCATTATATTAACAGATCCATAAAATCACTAGGAAACATTCAGCTGCCTAAGTTTGCTGCAAATCAAAGCTCTAGTTTATCGCAAGGCATTCCAAAATCAATTGAGCTTAATCAATTTCAGAAGAGCAACAATATTGTGCAGTTTAATCCAATTGGTGGGTCAACTGAATTTACTGATTCCTCTACTGGAAAGTAGAACTATTGTCAGTAATGCAAATAATTCTCTATCCAACTTTCATGGCAATTTTTCTCCATTGAGTGAGGTTCTATACTGTGATGGAGAAATGGAATTTGATGATTTCTTTTTGGATCAGCCATCTATTTCCTTTTAATTCATCAAGAGTCCAGCATCAGAATCTTTGAAGTTACTCCCGTTGTTGAATCATTTCTTCGTACAGTCTCTTTAATTTAGTTTTATGTTCCTTCGTTTTGGTTTACTTTCAGCCAATATTGTTAACTTTTAAATATTAATTACTTCTGTTGTTGAGTCATTTCTTTGTACAATCTCTTTGATTTAATTTCCTGTTTCATTTTGGTTCACTTTCAGCCAATGTTTTTAACTTTTATAATATTGAAGTAATTAATATTATTGTATAAGGCAACAATTAATTAATATAAAAAATCTTTCTGTCACATATCTTTACTGTTGTCTCTTTATTTTTTTATCCTAAACAAACAGCCATAATGTTATGTTGCTTTTAGGGAACCTTTGGTAGAGGAGAAATTTTTTTTATTAGAGAAATATAATTACTGGAGAAATGGTAGAAAAGTAAGTTTGATAGAAAAATTTAAAAAAAGTTGTTTGGTTGACCGAAATATTACTGAAAAAATTTATTTAAATTTGCATAGTCTATGTTTGGTTGAATGTAAAATAATGATGAAAAATAGGTTAAATTGATGACAATACCCCCATTATAAATTTTTGTGAAAGTGAAGTCACTCACTATGAGGGTCAATTTGGTCCATAACTTTTTCACCATTTTTCCAGTTCCCCATCTATCCCAAAATACCATATCTCAAATGGTTTTTTGGAATAATAAAAATCAACACAAAAAGAGTTTCTTATGCTTCCTAATCTCCTAGTATTTTTTTTTTGTTGCAAACTTGTACCAAACATGGTATTTCTCCCGTGGCGGACGGACGTGTGTGCAAGTGCACACACAAAATTTTTGGAGAAATTTTTTTTATATATTTTGGATCATCAACAAAAATTACAGGATCCAATTTAATTTCTTAAAAAAAAGTCGACTCGTGATTCCTTTAAATTTCAAAATAGACTCATGTTAGTTCTTTTGAGGGATTAATGTGTATCTTTTTGAATTTCAGAGGACCATAATTTTGATTATCTGAATCTATTTTTGAATTCTGAGGGATCACGAGTAGACTTTTTTTCTCTCCTAAGAGATTAAATTGAAGCTCATAATTTTTGTTGAGGACCCAAAATGTTCTATTGTAACAGTTTAATTGATTCTTGATTATTTTTTGAGAAAACTTCAAAAACCCCCTGAAAGTTTCGTCAGAATCACTTACCCCCTCCCCGAAATTTTTAATCATTTACACTCCTATTTAAATTTTTTTTTATCACTTACCCCCTAACTTAATTTTCCATCCAAAATTAAAGTTAACAGAATTAACTTTTTTTAAAAATACCAAAACTATCTTTAAAACAAAATAAGAAAAATTAACCCTTGCACTAATAGACCTTAATGCTGGCAAGAGATAGTCATGGAGTGGAGCCCTAGTGGACCTTTGTTGATGGAATGAAATTTTTTGAGTACCGTAGATAGAATGTAATAGAACACAAATAATTCACTGGTCTTCTTCAAAGAATACAATGGAACAATAGATTCAGAAAATATCATTCGAACTCAACTTTTAGTGCTTGCTTTCACCATTGCTCAAATAATAACATATCAGTTACACCAATAAATAAATCTAAGATAAGTTTGTAAAATTTAATTTCCGATGAGGGCAAGCTGCCTCTTTGCAGTGTTAGATATAGTGAGACATTCGTGCACTCTCGTAACGTGGTAGATTGGTATAATTGAATAAGGTTAATATTTGGGACATTTTTTCTTTAACAAATAAAAATCGATTCCATTAAGTTCCAGTGCAGTGTAAAACCACCTATATTTCATTGTCAAGAAAAAAGCACATTCTTGCACGACTCTATAAATAAGAAAATGAATATATGGATCATCTTTTTGGAATAGCAAACAAAAAAGGGAATTGAAATATTTAACCAGTGAAGTATTTAATCTTAAGATTCCTCCTATATGCACTAAACACCAAATAACGGGGCCATGTAAATTGAAATCTTGCAATTATGTTTACTTTTCTGCAATGAAAGTGAATATTTTCTCTATCTGAAGACCAGAAACACACAGCTTGCAAAGGGCTCCAGAGCTTCTTATGATCGACATCTCACACATATGGTCAAGGTGGTCAAGCTCGCAGCTGCGACTCTACTCCTCAATGACTATCTCTTGCCAGCAATAAGGTTCAGATAATGCAGGGGTTAATTCTTTTTTTTTAAGGATAGTTTTGGTTTTTTTTAAAAAAAATTAACTCTGTTAACCTTAATTTTGAATGGAAAATCAAGTTAGGGGGTAAGTGATAAAAAAAAATTAAGTAGGGGTGTAAATGATTAAAAATTTAAGTAGAGGTGTGAATGATTAAAAATTTCGGGGAGAGGGTAAGTGATTCTAACGAAACTTTCAAGGGGTTTTTTGAAGTTTTCCCTTATTTTTTTATATTAAGTTAAAATTTTCTTTAAATTTTTTTTTCTTTATTCTTTTATTCTAAGTGTGCAGACATTAAAAAAAATTCTAGGTCCGCTATTGTATTTCTCAATACCCACTTTCACTTCCCCATCAAACTTAAAATAAAACCTATACCAAACACATCCTAACAAAATCTCTATATGCATGGTTATAATGTTTCTGTAACTGAATTTGCAATTACAAAGTGTCATTGTCAATTGAAAAAAAAATGACATAAATAATATGATAATGACAATTTATAATAAAAAATTGCAAATCATAGGTTCCAACTAGTGCGCATAATGGTTGTTTTATAACTATATATGTAGAGTTATAACCAACAAAATCTCTATTAAAATGTGATGTTCGCCAGGCGGTTCACCTCCAATACATCCTCAGTGGCTTTCCTATTTGCCTCTCTGACGGCGTCCAGCATAGCCTGGTTTGCCGCTCTCATGGCCTCCTAGTCGGCTAATCGAGCCTTCTGCATCTCAGCCAATGCAGCCAGGACAGGATCAGGTTGATCCGCGCTAGTGTCTCGGTTCCTCCGAGGTAGTACCATGACTTTGCACAAGTTACACAAAGAATGAGTTGATCAGGCCCACGTATTGTGGTCACATGTGCATCATCATAGCAAAACCCAATAGAGAGAACACACAGACACGACTCACAACAGAACATTCTAAGTTATTGCAATACATACAGGCTTTTCCCTAGAAAGTGCTCTGATACCATAAAATGTAACACCCCGTGTATACCCGGTTTGTTACCATGTCATCGTATTAAGCCACGCTTAATTTAAAATGTGGAATATCTTTTTCGTTTCAATTATGACGTCATTATCAATTACCAAGTTGATTACTTAATTCTTTTTCAAAACATTGCATGTATGTAAATTGCAAATAAACAGCTATCTACACTGAATAACCTCAATAAATAATATAGCTGATGTGTGTCTCTAGTCTCGGAACTACAACACGTAGACCAGACAGATCCTGATAGTTTATACAACTTAAATAAACTTAAACATCGTCAAATCAATGGGGCATGGACAATCTTCATGCTCACCAAATAAGCAGCATACTCATCAAGTCTCAAAACAAACAGCATGGTAATGAATAAGACATAATCACTAAGCAGAGGCATCAACGTAATCAGCAAGCAAATCAATCAACTAAGCTCCGGCCTCGTGCCGCTAGAGGTCACAATCCCTGGGTTACCTGAACCTGAAATAAGTGCCCCAAACGTGGGGTGAGATCTCTAAACAGAAATCTCAGTAAGGCAAGGGGTCCTCAAGGATTTCTCCACCCCAAGCTCACTTACATGTGCAATATAAGTTCTAAAAGCAGTTTAACAGTATAAGTTCCAAAATTAGTGCAATGCAACAGATAACCATGTCATGTGTGTCAACTATGCTACTGGCCAGAGAAATGCAGGACGTACGTCTACAACCCCACAAATGGTGCAAGACGCCACTTGCACCCACCCACAGGATCACTGTGTTGTATGACGCCACATACTCAGGCTTACCGTCTAAATGGAACAATACATGCATATTATAAGGCCCTTGCACTTAACAGCTCACAAGCATTTTAAACATCAAAACATGAAAACACATCATGCATATAACCATTCCCCATGGGGTATGTTGGAACCAACAATGGCAAAACTGAGGACACGAAAGCTTACCTTGCAAGTTAGCTATCCAAGCCAAGAGTTCACACAAGCTCAAAGCCCAAACACAGCAGAATCACAATCTGTTTCGTACCAGCAATCATATCAATATTCAAACATACAAGCATATGACATAAAGACAACGCCTTTCCTTTAAGTTTCATGTCTTTAGGCTTCTCACAAAGCCACAAGCCCTTAATCACTTGGATTCTGACTTAGATTAATCATTACAGAAGTCCCACTTCATCAATCTAGGGTCCACAAACCCATAACAACCTTCTGTATGAACAGTACAACTACTGTTCTTAGAAAACCTAGAATATTCGGATATATGTCGGGGGCATATCCGGATATGCATATCCAGATATCACAGATCCCATATCCGGATATCAATATCCGGATTTTTTGCGACAGAATGCAGTTTCTGCATTTCGCGAGATATCACTTCCAAGGTTCCATTTTTTAACACTCCTAAACGTTAAAGCGTGCATTTTTACTCTCTTTTAAGTTCATATACTGATTGGTTACTTGTTTAACCCTTTAACATGCCAAGACTCAACCTTTAAACAACTAAAACTCAAGATCAAGGTAGGTGAACTTACCCAAGGCTCAAAACAGAAAAATGAGTGCTCTTGGAGCTCATCAAACAGCTCCTCAAGGTTCAGAGTTCAATGTGCACGAAAATGGCACACCATGGAGGGTCCTTTCTCTTCAAAGGTCACACCTTGAAGCATAAAATGCCATGACAATGGCTCCCAAG